AAGATGCAGCTGCACCCCTCTAGGAGGCTGCGCCAAGCCACAAACAGAAAATAAATAGCAATTCAGCATCACTGAAGATAACCCCTGAGCTGTTCCCTTAGCTGCACAACAGAGCCTTTATCTCATATAACTTTAGTGGGGATTAAATGAGATTACTTTCATTGTTGTTGTTTTTGAGACAGGGTCTCCCTGTAGCTGCAGCTGGCCTGGAACTTGCTATATAGACCAGGCTGGCCTCAATTTCAGAGATCCACCTACCTCTGCCTCCCGAGTGCTGGGATTATACCACCGCACCTGGCAAATAAGATTTCCCTTACAAACTGCCTGACACTGCTCTGTAGAGACCCAATAAATGGTAATTATTAAACACCCCCACAACTACCACCAGCAGCAGAAATGAAGTCACAGGGCAGAGCAGGCCTAAATGCTAAAGCTATGGAAAAACTGTATAGGGAGAAGGGCTCAGGGGAGAGGGGAAAAGCAACTGCTGCAGGTTGGAGTGGACTAGGAAGACCTCTGAAAAGGTGAGGGTCAGAGTTTGGATCTGGAATGTTCCCAAAGGCCCAGAGTGCTACTATGGGGAGGTTGTAGAATGAGGCCTAAGACAAGGTCTTTAGTCATCAGGGACATGTCCTTGAAGGGGACTGTGGGACCTCAGTCCCCTTCTTGCTCTCTTTCCTTTCCTAGGCATGAGGATGACATGCTGTCTCAACTGTAGGCAAACAATGGGCCTACCACATGGACTGGAGCCTCCAAAACTGTGAGCCAAAATAAACTTTTTCTCTTTATATACATTGTAACAGTTACTTTCAGTATAGTAACAGAAAGCTAGCATAAAGAGAAACTAAAGGGCTCTAAAAGCCATTACAGTGAGCTAGGCACCCCCAAGTAAATCTCATCTCAGTCTTAGAAGGTCAAGACAGTATCTTCACTTCATTAATAAGGCAAGTCAGGGGCTGGAGAGATGGCTCAGCAGTTAAAAGCACTGGTTGCTCTTGCAGAAGACCCAGGTTTGGTTCCCAGACCCACATGGCAGCTAACAACTGTCCATAACTCCAGTCCCAGGGTATCAGACACCCTCTTCTGACCTCCTCAGCCACTGCCTTCCTCCCAAACCTTGGCTGAACTCCCCCACGGCATCCTATTCAGGTGACTGTTTTTCCTAAGAAAAAAAGGGCACTCTTATCTTTTTAAAGCTCATCTGTGTTTCCTGAGATAGCTTCAAGGTGACCTTTAAGCTGTTTTGTCTCTCTTTTTGAGAAGTAGAAGAGCAAGTTCTGGTCTCACTTTTATGAAAAACCAGGCACATGTCTAATTATTTAAGGTGGACCATAATGCCCCTATTTCCCCTATTCACAAACTTGTTCTAAGGAGGAAATAGCAGTATATACCTTGCAAAGAATAAAACCAAAACATCATACGACATAAAGGGACAAAAGAAGCCTTTTTCATCCCTAATCAGGATACCTGCTTTAGAAGATTCTGGGCCTCTGCCAGGAGTTCAGGTCAGGAATATGGGCAAACAACAGAGGTGGTGCTGCCAGTGATGAGCTGGGTTATAAAGAAGTTCTCTCTGGGAAGAAGCACTGCCCTGGGAGTCAGGTGAACTGGGACAAAGCTGAATTCATACAGCAGCCAAACCACAGGGAGGAGTGGAATTGCCCTACCCCAAAGGTTTAAAGATGTTCCCAATTATTTATTTATTTATTTATTTATTTACTTATTTGAGATCTTGGCTCAAACTCCTATCTCAGGCTGGCCTCAAATCCCCTATGTAGCTGAGGATGACCTTGAACTTGATCTTTCTGCCTTGACTCCCAAGTGGGGAGATAACAGGAGATTGAACCCAGGGCCTCATGATTGTTAGGTAAGCACTCTACCAAGTAAGTTACACACCCAGTTCTGGTTCTCCCAATCACTTTAGTCTCCTGCACACTACTAACCCCCCGCCCCAACCAAGGAAAGGCAAGAATACTTGAATACTAGAGAGAGAAATAGAAGAGAGAAGGAAGTGATTTGCCTGAGGTCACCCCCCCAATCCTGTGTTCCCTCATCCCTGTCCCAAAGACATCTATTACTCTACAACATTGACTCTTGACCTGTCCCTCCCTTATAGGTCTCCACAAGGATCTCCTTAAGACTCCAGCTCACAATTAGGAAGGACACAGAACATTTCATTCTTCAAGGAGGGGTATGTTGCAAGGCAAGCAGCTGCCACAGCTGACAGAATGAGGACTACACCAAAACTCCTACCCACTCTAGGATGCTGAGAAAATAAAATTGCCAGGTTCTTGGATATCTGACAGTACAGAGATATCATTGCCTCAGCCCTACCGCTGGCACCATCTGCACTTCCCAAAGTCAGCTCAGGAGAAAGAAGAAAGTCAGCAGGACACACCCTTAATCGGGTGGCAGCCTAGGGTTAAGGAGTTTGTGATGCTCCAGTCTTGCCTTCAGTGGCTAAATTACAGAGGCAGCTGCTGCTCACCAAGTGCTCCCTGTATGAAGTCAACCTATATGCATTAATTGACATCATCACCACATCACTAGCACTGTAGCTAGATCCTATTTACCCTCACCCTCCATACACACACTCTTGTGGTACTGGGGATAGAGCCTGGGACCTTGTACATGCTAGGTAAGTTCTTGACCACTGAGTTCTACCCCAGCCCTTATTTCTCATTTTATGATAAAGAAACTGAGACTCAGATAATGGAAACAACAGTAGATGCATTCTACACTGCACCCTCACATCTAACCTTAATTCTACATGGGAAGGTGAAGGGGGACAATGGGTTCCCACTGTTGCCGTCTGAACAGGACCCTGGAGGGCGTTTGTCCACTTAGGATGGCCAGGTGCCAAGGCTTCTGTTTTCAGAAGCACAAAAAATGGCTTTGCAAGTCAGATACAAAGGCTTTTGGGACTACGAAGGAGATCATATTCAGCTTTCCCATTTTTGGATCGCAAAACTGAGGCCCAAAGCTGAGTAGCTTTGCCAGGGTTTCCATAGTTAAGAGAAACCGTAGAAATGTCAGACCCACTGCTGGCTAAGGAGGCATGACTAGTCAAGGTCACAGAGGTAGGAGGGATGGAAACTCAGTTTCCTGACTGCTATTCTCGACACCACACCATCTCTGCAGTCCAGCCTAGGGTCCCAGGCCCAGCACTCGATGGTGACAAAGCAGGTCAGGCCCAGCCCAATACCATTAGGTCAAGAGCTATCAGACCTACAGTTAGAAAGTTTGGACTTCCTCCCAGGGTGAGGTCTTCATGGTGATGCTATTATCTCACCAGCAGACACCGAGACCTGCAGCCAACCCCTACCACTGGAACATGAGGGAGCTGAAGGCAGGTGACAATTTGCAAACAGGACTTGTGAAGTCTCTTCCTTGTCTCACACACACAAATGATGTATCATGGTCATTTCAGGTTCTTACAACAAATACAGACACAAGGTTTCATAATTCAATTGATTTGATCAAAGAACAATTCAGATTCTCATTTCCCAAGTGAGAAAGACCTTCAGGAAAAGGCCCCAGCTGTTCAAGGTCATGCATCTATGTGAGAATCAGTACACATAGTTCCCCTTGCCTGGTTCCTTGATTTTTTTTCCCAGGAACCTAGCACCATCAGGGTATAGGTGCTAATGGCACAGCTCCATGGCCTAGCTCTACCTACCACTGTGACCAGCACCAAAGTCCTGCACCAGGAAGCCAGCTCCTGGATCTATCAAAACAGAGGCACCAGTTAGTTCCTGCAGTATGCCCCAGGGCCTGCCTCACACCAGCCCAGATCAACACTCAGCTCCCGTGTGTCCTTGGGAAAGCTACAAGGCTTCCTGCCAAGAGTCTCCAACTCCCCAAAACCCAAGCCAAGAGGGGAGCAGAGTTCCAGTACCTTGTGCTTTCCATAGCTAGCTGAGGGTGGACAGAAAAACTAAAGGCCACTTGCAAAGCTCCCTGGACACCACTTCCAGGGACCTGCCACTTGCAAAGGTCTCTGGACACCACTTCTAGGGACTTCTGGGCTATGTAGGCACTGGTAAACTCCACCAATCACCCAGCAGAACAGGGTGCTGAGGCTAGACAGGGAGCCCAACCCTTGGGGACGGAACAGCCTTTTCATTTCCCTCTCCCAAAAAGAACATTTTAAAATCTCTTCAGACCCAGCCCTTCTCCCTGTAGCTCTCCTTCAATGAACAGCTCTGGTTAGCCCAGACAGCTAGCTCCTTGAGATGCAACACAACTGGGTGCCAACCTGGAGTAAGGTGGGGTCAGACCAAGCCTCAACCTCCTCCAACCTTCTGCTACCCCCAAAACAGCCTTCAGAAATTCCCATAAACTGGATAATGGGTGGCATTCCTGGGCCGGAAACTGACTCAGGTTTCTGGCCAGTCTGGGCAAGTGAAGTTGACAGATAACACTCTAAAGATGAAAGGAAATGAGATTATGGTGATCCTTCATGCTCCACTACACTCATAAGTCTCCCGTACCCAGTCCCCTACTATATGCAGACTCCTCAGACAGGTCAAGTCTTGGAACAGCCTCCCAGAAGAAGGCAATAAATTGCACCGACAACTGTTGACAGAGCAGAAAGTGCCACTTGCTAGAAGATTTTCTTCTCTTACACATGGCTAGGTGCCTGGCTGCCCTCTAGGACCAAGCCATCAAGCCATAGGAGACCTGCCAAACCTGGATGCTTTACTGAAGATGCCTAGTATTAGAAGCATCCCATCCTTGAATCCTGCGCTCTCTCTCTCTCTCTCTCTCTCTCTCTCTCTCTCTCTCTCTCTCTCTTTCTCTCTCCCATGCATGATGTGGGCTACAAACTTGGGAGGTCTCAGATCACAGAGGCCACAGAGCTGCAAGATATAAGATGCCTACCTTATAGAAGTCCACTCAGATCCTGAGCAACCTCAAATGGTGAGAGATGAGGCAAGAAGCTCACCTATCTGGTGGGGCGGCAGCAGCAACAGCTGTCGCCAGCACCTGGGACTTACCTATCTTCATGAGGCAGGCCAGCAGGATCCAGAGGGAGATCTCAAAGGGAGTGCGCACATGGATGTAGTCAATGCCCAGGACTGGAAAGGCCTTTCGAGGCGGCTTAATGCCATTTTCAAGGATGGCATTGTTATTACGATGGTCCCCTGGATGCTGGAAAGGCTCTGATGGAGCAGTGGTGACATCCCCAATTGAGCGTTCCCGTGGTGGTTCAGAACCTCGGATGGTGCTGGCAGTAGGGCTGGGCTGGAGGCCATGGCTCCTCAGAACAGGTAGCAGCCCCACCAAGGCAACCACCACAAGCAAGGAGGGAAAGATGCGAGGTGGAGAAAGTCCCCAGATGCAGGACCACCGAGGCATCATGCCGCTCTCTTGGCCTTGGAGACCTCAACCCTTAGCAAAGTAAGAGTGAGACCTGGAACATAGGTAGCAAGAATTCTGCAGGTGGAGTGAGATTGGAGCAGTCTCTAAGAAAAGTTCATGCTTTAGAGAGGTACTTTCGTCTTCTGGAGATGAAGGAGAGCTACCTAGGGCCACAATGGTTAAGTCCAAACTGGGGAAGAGGGCCAAGGACCTAGGAGGAACCTTGGAGGAAAACCAAAAGGAACTCCAGGCTGGAAGAAGGGAACCCGGGAAACTGCGTCCTAAAGGGAGAGGAAGAGGCAGGATGGGCTGGACCACAGGCAACGGAAAGGAAGAGGGAATGATGGAACCTCTGGCTGAGGAATGTCACTGGGGTGCTGGGACTCGGCTAAGGGAAAGGGTAAAGGAGCCTGTGCTAAAGGAAGGAGACCAGAAAGGGGTGAAGACCCACACCAGGAAAAGGAGAGAGGAGGCTGGAAGCCCAGACTGCGAGCAAGGAGCGAAGCGGGAAGGAGGCTGGAGCTTCCCCACCCGGAAGGCCGGGGTCCAGGCGCACCGGGCTGGGATTCCGGGGAAATGGAGGGAGACGGAAGACGGAGGTAGACGGCCCGGCGGGAAGGCGCCTCGGCACAGGCTGCGGGGGCTCGCAGGGCGCCAGCAGCAACACACCCCTCCTCCGGCCCCCGGCGCAGTACCGCGATTTACCGCGGCCCAGCGGCAGCTCCTTCACGGCCAGCTCCAGCTCCAGCCGCAGCCAGGCCCTGGCCCCCGCAGCAGCGGACTGATGCCTCGCTGAGTCCGGCGCTGCCATTTATAGGTACCAACGAGTAGCCGGCGCCGAGGGCTAGAGAGACCTGTCAGCGCCCGCGCAGTGCAGCGGCCCCTGTCGCCGAGAGAAGGAAGTATCCCGTAAGAGGAAGTGGAGCGGAGATGGGGGGGCGGGGTCCTGACTGTACAGCCTAACTCGAATAAAATACTGTACTATTTACAAATCAGTTTCACACCCACATCTGCCACCACATGAAGCCTTGAAGGTAAATCTGGGAAGGATATAGTATTACCTTATGTTTTAGTTATCATGTGACCTTGAGCAAGTTACTTAATCTCTATTTTACAGCTTTCTCAACTGTAAAGTGGGGATAATAGTACCTATATCAGAGGGATAACATGATTACTAAGTGAGATCATCTATGTCAATGTTCAGCATGAAAGGGGTGGGAACATAGTTCAATAATTGGGTGCTTGCTCAGCATGTGCAAAGCCCTGCTTTCAATGCCCAGTGCCCCAAATCAATTTAACAAATATGACTAAAGAATGAATTCAGGGAGTGTTTGTGCTGAGGACTTTGTGAGAGCAAATCTGGTCCAGCTGGTGTGTTGTTGGCACATGTTGGCATTCCTTGATATGGCACCACCACGCTAGTCTTCAAACATAGTTCTCCCTGTGTTTCTGCTTCTAGGTCCAAATTTCCTTAATAAGGACGCCAGTCAAATTGGATTAGGAATCTAATGACTTTACCCTAACTTGATCAACTTCAGAAATCCAGTCTAAGCCCTATGTGGTGGCTCATGCCTGGCACTTGGGAGGTCAAAGAAAAAAGAATTTCAAATTCAAAGTCAGTGTGTGCAACATAGTGAGTTCCAGACCAGGCTGGGCTACATAGAGAGACCCTATCTCTAACAGACAAGAGAGGTCCCTTATCCAAATAGAGCCACATTCATGGGCACTGAGAGGGTGGGCAGGAATAAGATTTCAAGTTCTGGGTAGGGGCATGGTGGCACACGCCTTTAATCCCAGCACTCAGGAGGCAGAGGCAGGTGGATCTCTGTGAGTTCAAGGCCAGCCTGGGCTACATAGTGAGTTCCAGGACAGCTGGGGCTACAGCGAGACCCTGTCTCAAAAAGACCAAAAAAAAAAAAAAAAAAAAAATTTAAAGCCCTTTAAAAAAAACTGGTTCCACAACAAAAAGAAAGGAAACCGAAAAAAAAAAAAAAAAAAAAAAACGGGGTGTGTTTTTTGAGACCTGTTCTTACTATGTAGCCCAGCCTGGCCTCAAATTTGTGGCAATCCTCCTGCCCCTGCCTCCTGTGTCCTGGGATTACTGGTGTGCACCACCACACCCAGCTAAAGCTGAAATTTGAACCTATGATGATTGGAATTACAAAGTTCAAGAAATTATGGCGGAATGGTGCAATCATTGGAAAACTTTTTTATTTTCTAAGTGGCAGGAATTGAACGAAGGACCCTGCTTATATTAGGCAAGCACATCTGAGCCCAGACTGAGAATTGGTGAAATCACTGAGACACTGTCAAGTTTTGTAACCTCAAAAGTCGAGTAGACTAGCTTAAGGTGATCTTAGAGGGTTTCATTTCAGTGTCACAAATCCTTTCTGGACTTTTTGTTTACTGAGACAGAGTCTCCTTGTAGCCCCAGCTGACCTGGAACTCACTATGTAGACCAGGCTGGCCTCAGTCTCAGAAATCCTCCTGCCTCTGCCTCCTTCTGGTTCTTTTTTGGACCTCTTGACAAGGTCCGGGCTCTGGCAATACAGTCATAAGACATGGGGTGGGAGGAGGGGGTAGTGATTGGAATGAGGCACAAAGTGGGCTTCTGAGTCCTGCTAAAGTCCTGTCATATTCCTTTCCTGGGTAGTAGTTACCAACGTTACCCAAAGGCAGTTATTTTGTGGTTTCTCACTAAACACTGTGTAGTTTGTGCACTTTCCTGTAGGTATGCAATCCTTCCACAAAAAGATACTTTAAAATAAGAGTGTGATATGACAACTGAGTGTGAAAGCATTAAATGGACCTCTCTGTATCTCACATTTTCCATGGGGAGATATCACACACACACACACACACACACACACACACACACACACACACACAGAGCCAAAGAACCCTTTACTGGGAACAGATGAAGAAAGAACATGAACTCTGGGGCTGGAGAGATGGCTCAGTAGTTAAGAACACTGGCTGTTCTTGTAGAAGACCTGGGTTCAAATTCCAACACCCACATGGCAGCTAACAACCCTTTGTAACTCCAGTTCCAGGAGATCCAACACCCTCTTCTGTCCTGCGAGGGCACTGCATGACATGGGTGCACTTACACACATGTAGGCATAACACACATAAAATTAAAATTTTTTTAATTGAAAAAAAAAGACCATGAGCTCTCTAATGGAGGGAAACAGAGAGGAGCAGCATTTTGATCAAGGATAAGAATTGGCTGGGCCTGGTGTCTAATAATGGCTTAGACTGGTAATCCCAACTTCTTAGGAGATTGAGTCAGTAGGAACACAAGTCCAAAGCCTGTCAGGACTACAGGGTGAGCTTAAGGATAACTAGGCAACTTAGTGAGACCATGTCTCAAAATTAAAACATGTTAAAAAGGGCTGGAGGTATAGCTCAATGGTGGAGTGCTTGCCTAGTACTAAGAACAAAAAGAGGAAAAAAAAATAAGGAAAAGGGTCAGAATCAATAACATCTCACAATTGTTCATTTGTTGAGAACTCAAAAACTCTGTGTGTGCTTATCAATGGTCAAAGTCCTGCTGTATAGGAAGAGTCAGTGTACAGCAGTGATGATTCTTATTCTGTTCTACAGATGAACCAAGGCTTAGATTCTTGAAGCCAGTTGCCCAAGATGACAGAACTATGAGGAAGCAGCTCAAAGATTTAATTTAAGTCAGGCTCCTGTCACCTGAGTCCAGTGCACTTTCCAAACATCACAGGTTCAGGTTCAGTGTAGATTAATAAAGAAAAGAGAGAAAGGCTGGGGATAGTGAGGCACTTTCCCACACTTGCCCTGGGGCCAGAACCTGAGACCTGTGGACCTTTCCACTCCAGAGGGCCCTAGTCATTGACGCATTCATCCTCCTTTCTTGCCTCTCTCTCTCTGAGTGATAGACCAAGAGTGGCAGATCCCAGGAGGACCAGGAAATGCCACCTCTAAGATTCTTCACCACATGGAGAAGGTTATAGAAACATGAAAATAGCAGGAAATAATCATAGGAAAGCTTGTGGCTAAGACCCAGCCCCACAGGAGACATGAGGGACTGCCCAACTTAGATGACCCTGTCTCACCACCACTCACTAGTGCGAAAACCTTGAGTAAGTGTTCTTTGTTCCAAGTTTCTTCCTCCGGAATGCAGGGCAGCAGTAGGATAAACCCCATGGTGCTGTAATCAATGTATTAACCAATGTACACAAAGCTTTAGCGCAGCAGCCTGTAGGTACCGCCTATATTTGCCATTATTATCTTTTCTCCCATATGCCTTGGGGTCTTGAATGTAGATGTGCTGGATAGCTTTAGTGTCAACTTGACACACCTGGGTTGAGGGAGCCTCAATTGGGGAATTGCCTCTATTGGACTGGCCTGTGGCCAAGTCTGAAGGGTATCTTCTTGATGCGTGATGTGGGAGGGCCCAGCCCACTGTGGGTGGTGCCACCCCTGGGCAGGTGGGCCTGTGTTGCATAAGAAAGCAGGCTGAGCAGGGGCCAAGAGAGCAAATCAGTAGGCCGCGTTCCTCCATGGCCTGTGCTCTAGCTCCTGCCTCCAGGTTCCTGCCCTGGGTTCCTATCTTGGGCTCCCTGATGAACTGCAACCACATATGGCTTTGTTTGATTTTTTTAAGTAATTAATCATTTATTTTTATTTTATGTGCAATGCCCGTAGATGTCAGAAGAGGCCATTGGATCCCCTTGAACTGGAGTTACAGATGGTTGTTAGCCACCACATGGGTGCTGGGAACAGAACCCAGGTCTCCGGGAAAGCAGTACATGCTCTTAACTGCTGAGCTGTCTCTTCAGCCTCTCTGTTTGATTTGTTGTTGTTGTTGAGATAGGGTCTGCATAGGTAGCTCAGGCTAACATTAAACTCCTAATCCTCCTGCCTCAGACTTCTTAGTGTTAATGTTACAGGCACTTCCTGGAAAATAGAGACTTTGATATAAAGACCCCAAGAATTTACACATACCGTCACAGAGACACAAGAAGACCCTTGCACTGATGAGAGTGGTCCCACCCTTAGACACCTATCTCAGGCTATGAATCAAATACTTCTTTTTTCAATATTTAATCAATTTATTTATTGTTGTATGAGTGTATTGCCTGCATGTATGTGAGTGCACCCATGTCATGCAACGCAGAGATCAGAAGAGGGTATCAGATTCCCTGGAACTGGAGTTAGAGATGGTTGTTAGCCACCATATGGGTACTGGAAATTGAACCTGGGTCTTCTGTAAGAGCAGCCAGTGCTCTTAATCACTGAGCCAATATTTTTAGTACTTCTAATCACTGAGCCAATACTTCACTGAATCTAATACTTCTAAATAAGTAATATTGGTGTCTTGTTGTAACTTTTATCTTGCTGGGCATGCTGGGATTAAAGGTGTGGACTGGGATTCACATCTTTAATCCCAGCTCTCCGGAGGCAGAGGCAGTAGGATCTCCTTGAGATCAACACCACTGGGAGACCCTGTCTCAAAAAGACCAAAAACAGAGCTTTATCTTGTTAAAGATAACTAGGTAAAATATACTGTAGACTGGGGATGGTTACCTAGTTACCTAACTTGTACAAGATCCTGGGTTCAATCCTGCCACCTCAAAAACATAAAGTAAACTACAATATTTGTGAACTTTTTTTGCAAAACTTCACTTCTTACCATTCCAGGCCCACATTGCTCTTGACTCAGAGAGGAAATATCTGCAGACCCTTCCTGTGAACACTAGGTGCTATCTCTCCCTGCTTAGGTCACGTCTGCTCCCAAAC